CGATTCGAAGATAATGATTTGTGGCGACGGAAATTCTAACGATAAAAAAAATAATAAAAGCTATATATAAAGAAGTTTTTCATAATATTTAGTATTCTTTTCTTAATTCTTAATATTTCATGGATGAAATTATTATTTTTTCTTTTGTTTATATATTTATATTACTTACACTTATAATAATTTGTTTTCCGTGTAAATGCATGTATTGAATACTAATTTCTCAAAACACTCTCGACTTGAGATGAAATCTAGTTTTCGATTAAGCTTCAGAATTCAGCTTAGCAATAGGTATTAAAGTAAGTTTAAATAATTTAAGTAAACCAAAATCAAACCAGAATTAGACAAAAAAAAAATTAAGAAAACATCATTTTCAATTATAAAAACAAGTCATTTACTTTTGTAATTCACCAAAAAGTTGTGAATTAGGAACAATTTGGATTTTGGTATGGCCAAACACAATGTAAACAATACTTATTTAAAAATTGCACACGAGCAAGAAAAACAAAATGAAGTAAACAAACTTATTAGTAAAAAATTGTACACGAGCAAGAAAACAAGAGTATTAAGCACGAAAACAAACACAAAAATTGTTAGCATATAAATAACCTAACTAATGTGCTAGAAATGGTTAGCATATAAATAACCTAACGTGGTTAGGTACTAGCGGCTCCAGCTGCTGTTTGGCGTAACCCTTTGCTATTTCAGCCAATTCTAACTGTTCAGGATCAACTGGCTGGTAGGCCACACGTAGTTGGGTTTGGGTATCAACAATGATTTCCTTAAGCACGACACAGTTCTCCAACAAGTAGTTCACCAATTCAACGTCACTCGGGCAAGCACAATAACCTAAAAAACGAAAAACATTCAGATGCTGGTGCAGTGGGAAGTGCTTCAATCCCTTCTGAATTTCGTTGTTCGACCTTTCATCAGCTTTTAACCACCTTTGCTGCCCATACAAGTGAAAATAAAATAAGTTCATATACTAAGTTGACACGTATAATATAAGACAACAAATACAAGAAGTAAAGCCAATCAAGGATGACGAAATTGTAGGGATATTATTTACAAAGATGTTTGGGATAGACTAACCTGTATCTCAAATTCTTGCAGGTTGGGAGATGCATTCATAAAATGAGCTAGGCCAAGAAGACTCGAGGCATCGTGGGGAATTTGAGCATCGACAGAAGCTCCTGCAATAACAAATAAATAATTTTTTTTTTAACTTCCAATATATATTATTTTCAAAATAATTTCATGTTAGTACTGGTGATTTGACAATCATTTGTGTATTATATGACCCACCAAATTCAACCACGTAATGATTGTCAAATCAACAATAGGGCTCCATTATCAAGTTTTATATTCACTTTACACTCACTAAGCTCCATTAAGTGAAAAATAAACCAATGTAGAAAGACACCTTACCTTGCGACAAAAAATGTTCAAGGTGAGAATCTCCAATTGGGGAAGACAGCAAAGTAATGTAGAAATTAATCTCTCTACATACATAGAAGGAAAAAATAGTCCCCATAGGACACATGAACACTAGTAAGCATTGGAACGTCCTCAAGCAAGAGGCCTTCAATTTGATCCAGCATAAGTGAAGTTAGTTTCGGAGCAGAAATTCTTAAGGATTTTAAATAAATGCACCACAATATCTCCAAATGCTTTAATACAAGGGATGGTCCACAAACTTCAAGATGTGTCAAATTATCGGAGGCGCTGACACGTAACTGCTCGAGCAATGGGCAGCCACGTAAGAGAAACTCAATAGTTCCATCAGGGACTTCAATAGCGCCCAAGTACAACATTTTTAAGGCCTTACAGTTGAAAAGTCTACTAGATTCGTAAGGACGGTCCGAACTGATATTTACGCATAACTTAAGAGGAAACACGTACGATTCATCTGGTTCATTACCACAATCACCATGTAACAGGTTCAACTCCAACTTTTCAAATTCAAGCCACTTCGTAATTGACTTTCTTGCTGATTTGACTAAATTAAAGCATATTCTTAAATCCTTTACAGTGGACCCTCGGTGTGATTGGAGAACCGAATCCACCCACTTTACAAACTTTTCCCTCTCAACACTCCGACAGTTTGGATCCCAGATAACCTTCTCCATCGAGCTATAGTCATCAAAGTTGAGATGTAAGGAGTAACTCCACAGGTTTTTCCAACGAGATGAAAGAACACTTGTCCGCCCAGCTTCTTTCAATGGGAGGAAAGATAGGATAACAAGGAGAATGTCATCGGGTAATCGACATATAAGATTATCACCATGGTATCTCCCAGCACACTGTCAAGCAAACACACGATAAACCATTAAGTATGCAGTAATCAACAAGTTGCACGCGATTTTTCACATTAACAGCTCAAACACGTTTAACCAAAGTAAAGCTTTCAACAGTAGGACTATTTTATAGTTCACTATCGCCCACTGCTTTCAAAACCGCACCAGTCCGGCTGGTTGAACGGACAATCCAATTCGTCCGGTTGACAGTGAAACGGTCAACGACCGGTCGAACCGGTCCAGATTTTTTTAAAGATAACAACAACAAAAACAACAACATACCCAGTATTGAAAGTTTTACATTGTCAAAATATTTGATATATAATTTTTAAATGTATAAAGTTACTGCATAAAGTATGTATATATATATATATTCAAAAATATTAATGAATTAAATACCGATTTGACCAGTCACAAATCCGAACAGTAAACCAATGAACTAGTAGCTTCACATTTGAAAACCTTGATATCGCTACAATTTGTCTTTTGTTTCTTTTTAAGTAGTTTATTTATAATAAATTCAATTTATTAAACAATTTTATAAATTGACTTTTATTGTGGCATATAAATCTTTTAAATTTATGTAAACAATTTATACAAAAAATATTAATTTTTTTTGAAATATGATAGAGTTCCAATATCTCTACTAAATCCAATTTCTACAAATTTCCCGCCAATATAAACAAAGAAGTTTAATATTGTTAGCTACGAAATTTAATATTCAAATAAATTTAATTCTATGGTATTTTATTATTAGTGATCACATTTTTCTCATTATTAGTATTTTGACAAATGAGTATCTTGATAAGTTTAACAATTCTAGGGTAAAACATTGAACACAACATGTACTATACTATACGTGTTTTTGGAATTTGCAACTTAAGTATATTTTGTTGTAAAATGTAACCTGGAATTCATGAACATTCAATAATTTGCACACTTGGACATCAAGATGTAGGCAAGCAAGCAAAGCAACACAATTGTAGGTTGCTAAATTCAAAGCGGGTGGGAAAAATGATTTACCCATAATTTGATTACGGAGATCTCAGACCTTTATATTGCTTCTGCCGTCCGGTGAGGGCTACAACCCGAACTTGAAAGGACGGAATAGGCGGCTGGTGGAAAGAAAGCTGATAAAGCCATTTTCATTTCCATTCAATGAAAGATAAAAAGGCATCGGGGGTAGGTCATCAAATTGCAAGCTTTCCTTTCAGAGAAGTTAAAAAAATAATATGATGGCCCCATTGCTTTCTATTGAAAACGGATTCTTTTTTTTTTTCTTTGATGCCACAATCCCAAAGTTTCTTTTTTATTCAAAAAAGAAAAATCTACCAAAAATATGGTTAAGAATCTTTGAGTATGAAAACAAAAAAGTTTGTGCAACTTAATTGGACTTCTGATAGATAGAGGTGCTAAATTCAAAAGCGGGTGGAAAAAATGATTTAATTTTATTACATAAATTTGTCTAATCCAATTTCTAATTATATCTAAATCTTTTTGGATAAATGATGTCTAATTTTTAATAGTTACATAAATTATATGATTAAAATATATTTTGACGATAAAATCAATTTAAAAATAACTAGAATAAAATACGAAACTTGATTTGTACTTAGGTCATCTCTAGTCTTGATCTCTACTATTAGAGTATAAATTACTCAATTCTAGAGGAGGAAAGTAAACCAAAATTTTTAAATTTCGTGAGCTACATCTTACTCCACATTAAATATTCTCATTTTATTTGCATTATAATATCAAAATATAATTTAGATCAATACATTAATTAACACATGTTTAATTATTTAAATAATCATGATATAATTTAATTTAAAGTTAACTGATAAAATTATTTAACCAAATAATTAAATAAATACATCTCTGAAAATATTTATACAATTATAGAAAGAAGCACGCCCAGCATTGGAGCAATATTGTGCATCATCTCTCTAGCGATACACGCACGCCCATTCATCTACTATATAAATCTCCATGTCTTGAAATTTGTAATAAAATTGAGTGATTTTTTTTTTCTTTCAATCAAGGACAGTGAAATCCTAAAATCAAATTTTTTTTTTTAATCAAGATAGAGAGGATAAAGTCATTTATGCATACCCAAAAGTTCCAATAACTATTCATAAAATTTTCTCAAGCTTTCTTTCTTGCTTAAAGGGGATGCTTCTACATAAGAAAGGCGCTTTGATATTCCCAAAAATGAACAAACTATTGTGTTGGATGCACTCTTAAAAGTAAAACGTACGCTATATTAGGATTCACACTAAAAAAAACTGCAAACACGCCATATCATTACACAATTAGACAAAAATCAATAAAGTAAAGCAATCTTCCACATTCAACGAAAATCTTTGAGAAGCTATCGAATACAAACAAGTTTCTGAACAACTTAAAATTTTGAATTATAGTTATTATATAGAGTCAATATGAATTATCAATCTTATTTTATTTATTGAAAAGTATAAAATCTATATAAAATTGTGAAATTCATATGAGCAACTCAGCTGACAATCAACATATCCAAGTAGTACTCACAGATTTCCGTAACATAATCTAAATTAATTAAATGATTTGAATCAAGGAAAAACAAAAGGAGTCCAAGATTTGAACGGTTAAAATTCCTAAGATTACCTCTTCCAAACCGTTTTCGCAGCAAAAGATATTTATCATCTCCATCTTTGAATTGTAAACAGTTTTATTACTCCAAAGCAGAGGATTGGCTTGCTTCTTCTGAAAAAGACCGATTTTCGGTATCAAGTGCTAGATGAATTCAGTGACGGCCAACGAAAGGAATTAAAAGCCAATGATCTCCGCCTTTATCCAGTGAAGAGAAAGCCGAGTTATATGTAAGAACAATCATCAAAGGAGATTGAAAAAACGTTAAAAAAAAGGTTGCTTGAGCAATAGAGAGATTGGTTTGCTTAGAGCAGATCTAGATTGTAAAACTTCAAAAGAAGAAAAAGAAAACTACTAACGAGGAGAGGATTGCGGCTGTACTTTATATATTAATAAGTCACAACCAAATGCACAAGTCACAACCCCACAATATCACATGAGAATTCACAATCAAATCACAGACTCACATTAGAATTCACACCTTTACAAGTGCAGGGAATTCACAGACTCAAATTAGAATTCACAACTTTACAAGTGCAGGGAATTCACAGACGTTAGAATTCACAAGTCATAACCAAATCATAGCAGTTAATTTCCACAGCCAACTTGAAGCCAAATCACACCCAATTCAACATTCAAATCACACCCAACTTCTATTTATTTAGGAATTCCACCATCAACCAAGAATAGGCAATTAACCTCCCAAAACCAGATCAAATTCCAGAGTCAGTTATATAAGCGCCTGAAAGTTACCAAATCCAATTTCTNGAAATTATCTTCTGCCATCCATCAATAACCGTGATAATCCATCCATAACCATGATAGAACGAAAAAAATCATCAAAACAGAAAGTGTTCAGATAACACACGTCACAGACCAAAGGAAGGAGTGTGAAAGTCACAAGTCACCTTGCAAGCTGCCGATAAACACGTCGAACGAGAGGAATGTCGAGTCGTCTGAAAAGGCAAGATTCGGTGCGGCCGAGATAAGTATGAAAAGTCGGATTAAATGATTAACACACGTCACAATTAAATGATTAATTAAGTAACAATTGAATATAATTTAGAAAAAGTCGGATATTTATTTGGAATCATTGAATATATATATTTTTTAATCTCTGGATACATATGTAATTACACGAATTTTATATATTGATTAATTAAGAGGGGTGTATTTAATTAGGATTTTTAAGGACTTTTTAAGACTTTAGAAATACTGGTGTATTCAATTTAGATTTGTTAAGACTTTTTAAAACTTTTAAAAATCCTGGGTATTCAATTCGGATTTTCAAAAGTCTTACAAAATCCTGAGGTATTTAATTTTTTTGACACTAAGATTTATTAAGACTTTTTAAGATTTAGTGGGATTTCTAGACAAAAAACCTTATATGAAATCCCACTTCAAATCTTACCTCCGGACTTGAGATTTCATAGAATTCTTCCAAAATCTGAAAATCCTATAAAGTCTCAAATCTCGAAAAGTCTTAAAATGTCACTTAAATTCCGAATTGAATACACCCTCCTAAGTAACAGGAGTATATAAGATAGAAAAAGTTGATGGAACCGTTGGACATTTAGGGGGGTGTATTCAATTCGGAATTTAAGTGACATTTTAAGACTTTTCGAGATTTGAGACTTTCTAGGATTTTCAGATTTTGGAAGAATTCTATGAAATCTCAAGTCCGGAGGTAGGATTTGAAGTGGGATTTCATATAAGGTTTTTTGTTTAGAAATCCCACAAAATCTTAAAAAGTCTTAATAAATCCTAGTGTCAAAAAAATTAAATACCTCACGATTTTGTAAGACTTTTGAAAATCCCAATTGAATACCCCAGGATTTTCAAAAGTTTTAAAAAGTCTTAACAAATCTAAATTGAATATACCAGTATTTATAAAGTCTTAAAAAATCCTTAAAAATTCTAATTAAATACACCCCCTTAACTAACAGTCATATATTTTTTTGGAATAGTCGGATATTTATTAGTAAATATTATTCAAATTGTTTAACTAATTCTTTGTTCTCATATATAAGTACAATTACACATTTTCTTAATACCCGGCTTGATATGGTCGGAAATTTTTTTAAACATATTTGTTGACATAAATAACAAAAATCACGCATTCATATATATCTGATTTACAGAGAATTTCACTAAAATCATACCTCAATTGCAATCAAATCACACATTGCGCCGGCTTTTGTTTAGTTGACATAAAATCAATTTGTGATTAATTTAGAGTGGTATGAGTCATTTCAATAATAATAAGTTTTACAATAATAAGATAAATTAAATATAACCTAAACATAGTAGTAGTTTTACTGCACGTGTTGTTAAGAATTAGTTAAACACTTACTTTATCACCATATACACCAAAAGTCTCGTGTTAATTATTAGCCAAGTAAAATTGGGTAAAAAAAGTGTAGATCTGTTTTATTTGCGCTATGTAAAAATATATTATTATCATCATACAACCAGCATCCCAATTGTTTATTTGCTTAGTATTAAAAAAATATATCATTGTCAAATATAACAAATTGGTTGAATTTATACAAATGAACTACCATATTTAAATCGGAGGCAATCTGATTTTTTTCGAGGGAATAGAGGAGCATTAGGTAAAAAAAATTCAAATGAATTTTTTATGATCGAGTTGCATTAGCTAAAAAATTGTCCGAATCAATTTTATTTATGGAAAAATCTTTAACGAATCATTTATCATCCTCTTTAAATTGAGTGCTGATATGCCCTCATTCGTGTATCCTGTTTCAGTTTTATCATACAAATACACATATATTCAAAAGGAAGTGTGAATTTTGATCTCATTAAGGACGTCTCTCGAATGAATAAATCATGCATGGAGCTCCATGCAATTAGAATCATTTAACGCAAATTTGAGCCAAAATATAGGAACTTCTTGGAAATCATATTTCATGATGAGGAGGTGTGTTGCATTTTTTTTTTCCAATTTTATGCGTGTTGTTATTTAAAATAAATGCATACTGTTATTTTATACATATTTGTACTTATATTATTTTGAAATGTTTATATAGGGAGGTCATATAAATGTACTGATATGAGCAGCCAACATGAAAAAAATGGATTAACAACATTCGAGAAGGCCAAATTTACGGCATACAAAAATACCAAGTTGAGAGAAACGTTGGCTCATTTCAGCTCATAATTGACAATATAAAATTGAAATCCATGGTATTACGAATTTGGGTAAGTTCAAATATGACTTCTCCCTTTTTCGGATTGATTTCCGAAGATTTATTAATCAGCGAGACAATTTTCACTTATGGTTTCTTAGGCCCCAACGATTAACAAAAGTCATAATCAATCTTTATCATATGTTGGTTTGTTTTTTAATAAGCGATTTTTCAACCACGGCCAGTTATATTTAGTTTTTCCCATGTCGCTTTTCGAAATAACTTGAAAATATTTATTTGTGGAGATGATTGTTTACCTACAAGTTAAACAAAAAATGTTGTGTATAAAGAGGTGTTTAAAAAAAATGTATTTCTTTTTTATTCCAAGTTGATTAATATCTTTCATTCACGAAAATAATAATAAAATTGTTCAAATAGTTTAAAATTATTCATCCCGTGCATTGCACAAACTTCGTCCTAATATATATAAATATATCTCCATATATTCGCATCCCTGACAAAATATACTGCAATTGTCCTTAGTTTTATAAAGGTGATCCCTCTATAAGCTTTGTATGTTTTAAGTGCTGAACTAATATTCGATCATGTGTATATACACAGATGCAACACATGTGCAAATACAAATAAAATTTTATATGTTATATATATATATATATATGCGTAATATTTAAAATCATAAGTTAGATAATGAACATATCACATTTTATAAATTTTACCATTAATAAAAATATAAATTATTAACCTATATATTAATCTTTATCTCGCTTGCAATAATATAATTTTTGCAATCTTTGTTGATTCAGAACAATTGATTAGATAAATCAATATTGAACTTATTATTATAGCAATTGTATATGAAATTTTAAAAGTTGTGGTTATATCATAACAAATATTAACTAATCTTAATAAAAAAAACTTGCTAATGAGTTGAAAAAATTAAATAAATAGTTTGAAAAAAAAAAATTAGATTAGAATATCATTTAATGTGACTTTAATGTTAGTACTAGTTGTTATAGAATAAAATAAATAAATAAATAAATAAATATAAATATTTAATTAATGCAAAAGTAACCAGACCAAAAAGATGTATTACATTGGCCCATTTTGTAACTGGATCATTACAAACTTTACCCTTAAAATTGTGCTTAATTGAAAAAGTATCCTATTATATTCAAAACTATAGATATGCTTGTGAATTGTGATACGTGTTTTTTCCTTCACAAATTACAACTCAAAAAAATAGAATTATTTCAGTAAAGTTTGCCATCAAACATCACCCTTCAAAAATCAACAAAAACGATACATAAATTCGTCAAAAGAAAATGGTGCTAATATGGAACTAAAACTGCAATAGCCTCATCCCAAACACATTTCACTTCTTCTCCAAAAATAAAAAATAAAAAATAAAAAAAATCACTCAGACGGTCTTAACCTGGATTGACTGAAACACGGTCTGAGACGTTGAGGTTGGAATAATATCTGAGACGATCAAGACCATATCGCCCTTCTTGAGCAGCCCTCGGGTTTTAACAAGGTCTATGGATTTGGCTATGTTGGCTTCCATGTCATCCGAGAGGTCCGCGAGAAGGAGCGGTGTGACCCCCCACAGCAGATTCAGTGCCATGCGAGTGCTGCCATCGCTCGTGAAAGCAAAAACGGGAGGGTTCGGGCGGTTGCGGGAGATCAAGGACGCCATCTGGCCGTGCCTCGTGTACACAAATATGGCGTCGAGTCCTAGGTTATTTGCTGCGAAAAATCACAAGATGTAATAATTCGTCAAAATCAAACGTAAAAGAGACAAAGGACGTGTTAACACTTAACATGGTGAATCTGTTTTACGACGAGGCACTCATGTCAAAAACTGACCCCTCATATTACACTCTAAATCAAAAATAAATTCCAAAAAAATTTTCATCGGCAAGTATTTTTGCCTTTTTGGTGAGTAAAATTGGCAAAAGTGCGATTTATTTGTGTGACAAGTTGTACAAGAAGCAGAATTTGAAATCTAGAGATCCGTCCTAGTGCTTTTATTTTAGATTTAATTATGCAGATTTATAAGAGTCTATATTTGTCTTCTGCAGCTAAAACCAAACAAGTGTTTGTATATGAAAATACTCAATACATACTCCATTCATAATTAAAATCTAACTAAACTTTACCTCAATTTCACTATCCTCAATATTATCAATATAATTAAATAATATCAACCAATCATTCTTCCAAATCACATCAATTTTACTTACTATTCATTCACTCGCATAATTTTAACTATTACTTCACATCATCTTCCCTACTTTTACATCAAAGCAACTTTAATTATTTTATTTGAAACATTATTTTAATATAAAATCAAAATCTAACTAACAACTAACCATACCACTTTTTTTCAAAATTAACTGATTGACCGAAAAAAAAAACTCATTTTGACCGGATATATTTGTATACAAACACGCCCTCACTTATTTACATACCCATTTGTGCAGCAGAATTGCATATTTGCTCGGCTATTTGGTCGGGCAAGGATGATGCGAGTTTATGCTTCGACAGAACATTTTGTCTGTTCTCCTCACGACTCCATAGTTCCATTCTGCTGCTGGTAGTGCTCAACACAGACAGAGCCTTTTGCCCAAATGGGCCAATTGCTGATTCCCCAGACAGCATCAATGCATCCGCATATTGGCGTACAGCCTCAGACACATCAGCAACCTATATACATCACTAAATCTCGTATCACGTATTTTATTTTATTTTTTTTCCTATTTTATTAGATTTAATTAAGCCATTATTGATATTAGTACTACCTCGGCTCTTGTTGGAGTAGGATATTCAACCATCGACTCGAGAAGCTGAGAAGCAACAACTACAGGCTTGTTAAGCTGTCTGCACACAAATGTAATTTTTTCTTGCACGTTCGGAATTTGTTCGAGTGGGATTTCGACTCCAAGGTCACCTCTCGCTATCATGATACCATCAGATGCCTCGACAATTTCCTCCAATGTATGAAGTGACTCGAGGCTCTCTATCTTCGCCAAGACTTTTATTGATCTGATGAATAAAAACATCTACCCTTCATTTTCCATATTACCCCAAGTAATATAAAAGCAATGATTCTGAGACAAAGTTTACACTCTTGACTAAATCATATCAATAAGGAGAAAGAAAA